AGGGGGGGAAGGTGAGGGGAGATCTTAGCATTCTTTGTGGGGGGTGGGGCAGATAGAGGCAGAGACCTTCCTTAGATGTGGTCCAGGGGCTGCTGGAGATGGTGTGATAGGAGCACCAGGTTTGTGGCATGTGGGACAGGAGCAGGTGACATGGTTGAGAGAGTTGCTGGCAGCCTGCTGATGGCGAGGGTGAGGGCTGGCTTATCCACTCCCACTTCTGAGGTGGCTGCCTCTGTGGGGGGCCCGCTTGAAGTCCTTAGGCAGATGAGGCAGGATGGAGGCCCAAGTGAGGAAGGCGTTCCAAGTAGGTGGCCTTCCCAGGCACACTGGGGTAGCAGCCCCTCCTCCTGCCTCTGGCTGCTCGTTGTGGGCCTCAGCAAACAGGACCTGTCTTTACACCTTCATGTTTGTAGGCATTGATGAAGACCCAGAACCCAGTGCATCTTAATGCAATAAAATTGCCCTTGAACCCCAGTGCTTTTCTCATAATAGGCACATTTTGAAAGGCAGCCACTATTAAAGATAAAGAAAGCCGACCCTAGTTAAAGTGGTAAAGACAGATTTTAATCAGTAATATAATCTTACAATAGGGAAAAGTGTCCCACGTGAACTGAACCCAACTTGCATTTGTACAGAGGTGACTAAGTGTTTTAAAGGGGGATGGAGGGAATAGGGATGGGGGGCTCTGTGGGGTCAGGGAAGTGGAAAACTACAAAATAGAGGAAGGGAGCTGGTCCATGTGACACCCACCTGGGTCTGCTAAGTGGTGTTTATTGAAATTGGGTTCCTACCCTCCCACAGAGACTGGGAGACACAGGGTGCCATCTTCACATGTTGGCTGGAATAAATAGCACATTCCTTTGGCTTCCTAGAGTTTTCTCAATCAGCCACTTTAAGGGAGGCTTAGGGTCATCCTAGGGACCTGACATTAGAAACTGTGTTAATGTTCGTTCAAGTCTTTATAGGCTGAGCTTGACAGGCCTAGTCAAGAAGAGAGCTCCGAGTAGTGTGAGTGGTGTTTGGGCCAAGAAAGAGTCTTTGTCACCATCTCCTTTGGAGAAAGCCTGGACAATCTGCAGCTCCGATTATCATGGTGCAAAGAGCACCAGGCCCATGCCGCCCTGACGAGCCAGCCTTGGCCCTGGCTGGACTTCACAGCTCCTCGGACAAGTGAGGGTGGTTGCATGTCATGTGTCTGCGGGGTCTCCCAGGGCTGACATCCGAATTAGAACTATGGCTAGGGGCGGGTGGCAAATGAGACACTTACCTCAGACACAAAATTTAAGGGGGTGCCAAAAACCTCAGTAACAAATACGAATAGTATTTTAAGGTAATATTTTAATAAATCAAAATTTATGCAAAAAAAAAAAAACTCTACAATGAACAAAATATCAGAATTTTAAGTAAAGCTGGGATCTGACGGTGCTGTGATTACAGTGAGATGAGGGAGGCCACAGACCCTGGCAGCATCAGACGCCTGGCAGCCAGGCCCTGGAAGGGGAAACTCTCTTTTCTTCCACTTCCGGCCTGTCATCTTCGATCATTCCACTAGGGGGAGAACGTCTACCACACAAACCTCCAGTCCTGAGGCTTAGAGGCTTGAAGAGCCTCTCTCGTCTTTCTCTAGGCTGTTTTCTAGATTCAGAGCCAAAGGGAAAAAAGAGAGATTCTGGCCATTGATATTATGCAGCCATGACCTTCCGCTAGGGAAAAGAAAAGGAATAAAACACAAGAGCTGCGTGCCTTCCTAACACTTTCAGTTAAAGGATTTCACATACACTCAAAATTGCAGAGATAGCAGGGATAGTGCAGGAATACAGCAGTTGTCTGGGAAACAAGAAATCTGGGTTCCAGTCTTAGCTCCGCCTTGATTTCTTGAGTGGCTTTGGCCAAGTGATTTCCCATCTGGTGGCCTCAGTTTTACCATCTGTACAAGGAAGGGTTGGATCAGATGGTCTCAGAATCCATTTTGGCACTGAACATCTATGTTTCTGTCTCTGAAGCAGAGCTAGGAGAAGAGTTCATGAAACATAAATTAAAACAGCTGGATGAATCAAGCCAGCATGTTCTGAAAGGCTGAACTTCCAATTCAGTCTTCTTCCACTGAAGAGTTTCAACCAACTGCTGGTACTAGGTTTCCTGAGCTGGAAGACAAGTCACTTTCTCTCACATTAGCCTTAGGCTGGCTTTTTCCATGTATTGTATTTTTTCAGCTTCTCAACACCCCAGTGAGCAGCTATGAGGATCATCATCCCCACTTTACAGATGGAGAATTTTGAGCCCTTAGAAAGGTTAGGTCAGTGCCAAGGTCGCCTAGCTGGTAAATGCAAGGCCGGGACTACAAGGGCATCTGAATCCAGAGGGTGTGCTTTCAGCGATACTGGCTGCCAGCAGACCCATGTGTGGGCCCTCCCTGCCACCTGTGTGTCCCCTGGGAGAAGGAGAGCCAGGGAGAATGAGAAGTGCCCTGATCTGGTGAGTGGTGAGGGGGCTGGGCCCCAGACACTGCCCTCCTACAAAGCAGGATCGAGTCTACGATGGATTCAGCAGACATCTCCTGAGGACTTGCCAGGTCAAGGCATCAGTGGTCCCCTGGTCAGGCAGGGAGTCAGACCTGGGGAGTCAGAACCCACCAGGGCAGGTGGGGGCATGGGAGGGGCTGAGACAGCTGTACCTCCTCCAGCCTCCTTGCAGTTTCCTTGGTGGGGCCTGCAGGGCCCAGGGAGGGGAGGACCTGTCTGGCCTGTTAACAGGCCAGTTAGCTGGCCCTATGGCACAGCCAGTTTTGCCAATCCCTGACCCCTGGCTGAGGGAAAAACTAAAACAGGAAGGCTCCAATTCTGCTCTTTAATGGGGGGTGTTCATTTTTCATTATCCCCTTTCTTGGTGCCACTCCCACAGCTGTCCTTAGGCCCAGATGGACAAAGAATATAAAGCTCTGAGGATGAGTTGGAAGGTGTAACTCTTCAACCACAGTGCCTGAGGGCAATCCTATGCTCCCTGGTTCCTAAAAACCTTGGAGAAATTTCTGGCCTGGTCCCTCCCACACTCCCGGCTTCAGAGACAGAGCTTAGAAAAAAATTTCTCAGAAAAAACACAAAGACGGCTCTGGCCAAATCGCTTTTTTAAAGCCATTCTTCATCTACTTCATAATTTTTTCCCTCAGATTGGCCCTGATTAAAAACAAGAAGGAAGAATTATCTCTGGGATTAATTTTCACTGATGCCCTTG